GGCAAAGAATTACCTCAAGGGGGACCAACCAAAAGTTTATGGTTCCATCCTCATTGTCCTTGGCACCAGAGTAGATTTTGATCCAGTGACCCACTTCACTTTCTTAGAGTACTTCCCTCTCTCTGTTTCCCTGTACTTATGAGTATTCCCCACATTTATTCTAGGGAGGCAATGAGAAGGCTTGATTCTACCAGGAGTCTTGGTGAAAAACTTTCTCATGAGAGGAAAAAAAAATTATCAGCTGTGCTTCATCAGTGATGGGGCCTCCAATCATTCTAGATGAGTCTTTTCTCTGGTTTAATTACCAATTGCACCTCCTTCCATTCTTAAGGCGTCCCGATGTGGAGAGCATATTATAAGGTCATCCAAGGAATGTAGGTTTTTTTTTTTTAAAGATTTTATTTTTCTTTTTTCCCCCCAAAGCCCCCCAGTACATAGTTGTATATTTTAGCTGTGGGTCCTTCCAGTTGTGGCATGTGGGACGCCACCTCAGCATGGCTTGATGAGCGGTGCCCTGTCCGCGCCCAGGATCCGAACTGGTGAAACCCTGGGCCGCCGAAGCAGAGCGCGCAAACTTAACCACTCGGCCACCGGGCCGGCCCCGGAATGTAGTTGTTGTTCAACAACATACTTCAACGTAACTTGAAGCACCAGGGAAGCGGGCAATTCTACGTCAAATCTTCCAGATAATCACATACCATTGACTAAGAAAAGCATGTTCTTTATCATTTCTCAGATAGATATCTAAAATTCTGCCAGGCTGTTCTTAAATCTATGACTCTGTAACATACATTTTAAGGCAGATATTGTTATACCTAGATGACTAATCTTGTCTCCTTTTCTTTTTTATAAATGAGCCCACCTTTATTTTCATCTTGGTTTTACATCATCATCCTGGGACAATTATCCACCCAAGTGTCTTCCTTCTGATTTCCCTTGGAATGCTTCTTCTAATTAGGAGTTCACCCCATAGCTAAGATCATCAAGTACTCTCAAGCTGCTCCCAATAATTTGAAAGGATCTCATGTCTCATTTTTAAGATACAACAACTGTTGAATGAATAGCATATCTGTTTGAATGATGAATTACTGTAACATTTTTAAGACATTGAATCTAGATTTAGTGACAATGGGATCATATAGGATATTTGTAGCTTTCTTTCTAGTTTATTGGATTGTTGCAAAAAGTAGTCTTTAGTGATTTAAATAAAGCTTTTATGTTTCCATCTTCAGCAGGGTATTGTGTTAGATTATGGGTAAATTACACAGAATTCAGGGCAGCCTGGTCTCTGACTTCAAGAAAATAAGCAAATGTATGTGGTGAGGGATAGAAGTATTTTGAAAGTATAATTTATCCTGGGAGAAATGAGAAGGATAATTAGTAGAATAATGAAGGAGACCCTTTTGTAACTGTAAGGAATGGTTTATTATCGGAAATAGGCAGAGCTTTGATTCTAGACCTTTAGTAACATAAAACTCTTTAACTCTGGGTTTCCCAACTCTCAATTTCATCATAAACAGGCTTAGTTAATCTCCTATGGGAATGTTTCCCACGGAGCTACAAAGCACGCAGGAACCAGAATGATGTAGGGTTAGATATTAAGTGTCAGGATAATCTGCCCTTTTAATAATTATTTTTCAGACTTGATTGCCTTTGGGTTAGATTTCTAAGTTATGTATTGAGCTCTACTATGGCCCCAGTGGTCTTTGATGAGGTATGGAGCACAGAATAAGATCTTAATTCTGCCCTTAAAAAAGGGTACAGATATGCACAAGAATTACTTATATAACTGAACAACACAATATATATTTATGGTCCATTTAAAGGTGCAGTTATAAGTATTATAAGAATTCAAAGGAGGAAGAGGCTTATGTGGTCTGAGGTTTTCAGCAAAGCCCTGAGAGAGAGACAAGGAATGTGTCTGGCCACCGGGTGTAGTTAAAATTTGAAGACAATGCAAGAGGAAAAATCCAGCATGAAGGTGCATGTTGCCAGCTGCTAGTGAAGGTATGTGCTGGGATGGGCTTGCGCATTTGGAGAGGAATTTTATGGGGAGCTCTGAAATGACCATGCTCCCAGTTTAGGAGGGCTGTGGGCATCAGGTTACGCGTATGGGATGTCTTGATTGAAAGGCACACTATAGGATATTATTTACAAAAGTAAGGATATATGCGTGAGGGTATGGGAGGACTGAGAGAAGGAGAGAGAGAGATGAATTATGAGGAATTGGCTGACAGGATTCTGGAGGCGGAGGAGTTCCACAATCTACCCTCTGCAGGCTGGAGACCCAGGAAAGCCAGTGGTGTAATTCAGTCTGAGTCCAAAGGCCTGAGAACTAGGAGAGCGGATTGTGTAAATTCCAGTCTAAGGGCAGGAGAGGATGAGATGAGATGTCCTGGCTCAAGCAGTGAGGCAGGAAAACAAAGGGCAAATTCCTTCTTTTTCCACTTCTGTTCTAGTCAAGCCCTCAACTGGTTAGATGAGGCTCACCCGTGTTAGGCAGGGAAATCTGCTTTACTCAGTCTACCAATTCAAATGCTCATCTCATTCTGAAACACTCTCACAGACACAATTAGAAGTAGTGTTTAATCTGAGCATCCTCCTGGGTCAGTCACGTCGATGCATAAAATTCACCATCATAAATGTAAACTTGTAGACATTATATGTATGTATAGACAATATATTGCTTTACAAAGAACTTCCCACTTTGCTCCTTAGAACATTCATATAAAGAAAGTAGGAGGGCTGACTCCATTGTACAGATGTATAAAGAGAAACAGAAGGAGTTACATGGCAGAAGTCAATGAGTAGGTGGGCCCATTACTTTACACTTATTATTGATTAATTTATCTTTCAGGGAATCTAAAGTTCCTGCCTCAAAATATGTGGTGTCTGTTTTAAATTAGATGAGTCTGGATTGATGAGCGTTCACCTATCTACGACTTCTCATCTGAACAGGTGTTGCATAGATCTCCACCTGTGGCTGAGTTAGATTCACAATAAATTGTCCCCAACGACCATTTTTAGACATCCACTCCAATCATAAAGATTCTATCAAGATAACGAGAAAACAGAAAAGAAGTTTAATCTTGGAGCTGGAAAGAATCCTAGCCATCCGTTGTCTGAACCTCATATTTTAGGGAAGAAAACCAAAAGTGGAAAATGGGCGTGGTGAGCCCAAGATCACAGAGGAAATTAAGGGCAGAAATAGTTCTAGAAATCTAGGTTTTTTGGTCCATGTAGTGGGTTGAATGATGGCTCCCTGAAATAGATCTATATCCTGGAACCTGTCTGTGTGACCTTATTTGGAAATAGAGTCATTGTGATGTAATTCAGGTTCTCAAGATGAAGTCTTGCTGGATGAGGGTGGTCCTAAATCCAATGGCAGGTGTCCTTATAAGAAACAGAAGAGGAGAGACACAGACACAGAGGAGAAGCCACATGAAGATGGAGGCAGAGATGGGAAGGATGCAGCCACAAGCTAAGGGATACCTGGAGCCCCCAGAAGCTGAGAGAGGCAGGAAGGACCCTCTCCCGAAGCCTCTGGAGGCAGCATGGCCCTGTGACACCTTGATCTCCGACTTCTGGTCTCCAGGACTGGGAGAGAATCAATTTCTGTTGTTTTAAGCCACTCAGTTTGTGGTACTTTGTTATGGCAGCCCCAGGAAACGAATACAGTCTGTGGTAGGCTGTTTCATTTTGTGTGGTTTGCAGAGTGAGAATACAATGCATCGCTCAGGTGAATTTCTCCCACCACGTTCCCAGGCATCCTCACCCTCACTGAGACATAGCTGACGTCCCTGAGCAACAGTATTTTGAAGAATGAATCTGCCAAGCGCCAAGTCTGATTGCAAAATCCCTGATTTCTCATCTACACCATTTGCAGACTGGCTGTGGGCGTCCAGCCCAGATCTTGGTGCTTACTGCAGGAGAGAAATGTTTATTTAAATGAGTAAATTCAGGTTGACATTTTTATAGTCTCTACCAGACGACGGGCAGTTTGGAATCATGAATATGAAGTCAGGTTCTCCTAAAGTGATCACAGAAATATTACAAACCTGTGGCATTGGCAATACTATGATGTGCTTTTCTGACCTTTTCATCAGCCTGCCAGGACCTTTGGTTTATTCCCAACATAAGACTAAGACATTCAAGAAGCTTCCTGGAGGTCAGCTATGACAGAGAATCCGCTGTTTGCCACAAACTGCCTCTTTGAAATATGTTAGAGCAATCAAAATGTAGCTGCTTGAAAAGGTCAAAAGTCATTTTTTTTCCAGGATATAGAAAGCATCAGAATTGTGGGATTTTCTTTCTTACAGTGCTGAGGTCTGCAAACCATGAAAAGGTTGGATAAGTAAATGAATTGTACCCTTCAAAAGGATGGCAAAAAAGAGGCTACATTTTAGAGGCTCAAGGCTTAACATCTGTAACAGTTTTACTTAGTTATGAAATTAAATTAAATTTTTATTTTATTGAAAATAGGAAGTCCTTGGGTGACATCAGCAACATGGTGGAGTGAGCTGTTCTAATCATTCTCTTCTGCCTTGCTGCCCTTAGTATTTTTTCTTTGTCATTCACTTTTGCCTGCTTTAGTATATCTCTTGTAGTATGTCTTTTTACATTGATGTAATTAGGAGACCTATAGGTTTTGTTCACTTGTATTTCCAGCTCTTTTCTCAGGTTTGGGAAGTTCTCAGCTATCATTTCTTTGAATAAGCTTTCTGCTCCATTCTCCTTCTCTTCTGCCTGTGGAATACCTATAATCCTTATGTTGCATTTCCTAATTGCGTGAGATATTTCTCTGAGAGTTTCTTCATTTCTTTTTAGTCTTAGTTCCTTCTTCTTCTCTATCTGAAGCATTTCTATATTACTGTTCTCTACATTGCTAATTCAGTCCTCCATAATGTCAGCTGTACTGTTTAGGGAATCCAGATTTTCCTTTATCTCATCCATGGTGTTTTCCATCTCCAACAATTCTGATTGGTTCTTCTTTATGGTTCAATAAAAATATTTCTTTCACAAATTTGTGTGTCATCCTTGTGCAGGGGACAGGCTAATATTCTCTGTATAATTCCAATTTTAGTATATGTGCTGTGAAGCGAGCACCCAACCAGAATCCCAATGACATTCTTCACAGAAATAGAACAAAGAATCCTAAAATTTATATGGAACAACAAAAGACCCCAAACAACCAAAGCAATACTGAGAAAAAAGAACAAAGCTGGAGGCATCACAATCCCTGACTTCAAAATATACTACAAAGCTATAGTAATCAAAACAGCATGGTACTGGCACAAAAACAGACACACAGATAAATTTAACATAATTGAAAACCCAAAAATAAAACCACATGTCTATGGACAGTTAATCTTCGACAAAGGAGCCAGAAACGTACAATGGAGAAAGGAAAGTCTCTTCAATGAATGGTGTTGGGAAAACTGGACAGCCACTTTCAAAAGAATGAAAGTAGACTATTATCTTGCACCGTACACAAAAATTAACTCAAAATGGATTAAAGACTTGAATGTAAGACCTGAAATCATAAAACTCTTAGAAGAAAATATAGGCAGTACACTATTTTACATTGGTTTTGGCAGCATCTTTTCAAATACCATGTCTATTCAGCAAGGGAAACAAAAAAGTTAACAAATGGTACCATAGCAGACTAAAAAGCTTCTGCAAAGCAAAGTAAACCATGAACAAAATGAAAAGACAGCCCATCAACTGGCAGAAAATGTTCACAAATCGTATTTCTGACAAGGGGCTGATCTCCAAAATATATAAAGAACTCCCACAACTCAACAACAACAACAAAAAACAACCCAATCAAAAAATGGGCAGAAGATATGAACAGACGTTTGTCCAAAGAAGATATACAGATGGTCAACAGTCACCTAAAACCATGTTCAACATCACTAATTTTTAGGGAAATGTAAATCAAAACTACAATGAGATATCACTTTACACTGGTCAGAATGGCTGTAATTACCAAGACAAAAAACTACAAATGTTGGAGAGGATGTGGAGAAGAGGAAACCCTCATGCACTACTGGTGGGAATGCAAACTGGTGCAGACACTATAGAAAACAGTATGGAGATTTCTCAAAAAATTAAAAATAAAAATATCATAAGATCCAGCTATCCCAGTACTCAGCATTTATCCAAAGAACTTGAAATTAATGATCCAAAGAGATTTATGAGCCCCTATATTCATTGCAGCATTATTCACAAAAGCCATGATGTGAAAGTAACCCAAGTGCCCACTGGCTGATGATTGGATAAAGAATATGTGGTATATATATACAATGGAATACTACTCAGCCATAAAAGAAGACAAGATTGTCCCATTTGCAACATGGATGGACCTTGAGGGTATGATATTAAGTGAAATAAGCCAGACAGAGAAAAACAAATACTGCGTGATTTTACTCATATATGGAAGATAACAAATACATGAATAAAGAAAACAGATTAGTGGTCACCAGAGGGAAATGGGGTTGGGCAAAAGGGCTAAAGGAGCATATATGTACAGTGACAGAGAAAAATTAGACTACTGGTGGAAGCACAATGAAGTCTATTCAGAAATTGATTAATAATGTACACCCGAAATTATGCAATATTATAAACCATTATGGTCTCAACAAAATTACTGGAAAAAAATAAAAATAAAATGTGCTTAATTTTTAAAACAGGTGGTCAAAAGATACAAGCTTTCAATTATTAAATAAAGTCGTCACAGGGATGTAATGTACTGCATGGTGACTATAGTTAACACTACTGTGATGAATACTTGAAAGTTGCTAAGAGAATAGATTTTAAAAGTTCTCATCACAAGCAAAAAGCTCTGTAACTATGTGAGATGATGGATGTTCACTAGACTTGTGGTGACCGTTTCACAATATATACATGCGTCGAATCACTGTGTTGTACACCTTGGGGAAGAAAACATAACGCATTCTATTTCCCTGGTTCTGAAATGCAGAGATACAGCACATTTTTTCTCTTCCTGTGTTACTCATCCTATGCAGCAGCAGGAGGGAAGAAGAGCACCCTTGAGGGGTGTGGGAGAGGGTTTGGCATTGCAGGTAACATCCATCCTTGTCCACTGCCTGATACCTGCCTAATTGCAAGATGAGGGTCCAGGCATGAGGTACCTGTGCTTTATCATATAGCACCGTGGACACAGAGCTCCTCGGGGCAGGCTAATTCAGCCTAGAGGAGAAATGATCAAAGGCTGTGGCTGCCATGCAGGTCAGTTTCATGAGTTTGGATGTGGGGAGCATCATGCAGTTGGCCCTTTGCCCTTTGCTCCCTCTCCGTGCCTCTCTGTCTGCTGTGTGAGCATCTTGTCTTCTTCCTCTGGTGCATGCTCTTCCCAGGTTTGCTCAATGAACGTTTATAAATTCTTAAGGCATCAGCTGCTGCATGAAGAGTCCATGTTAAGCAAAGAAGATAATTAGGCACCCTCCTTGCCCTAGGAAGAGAGGTCTGACCTCTACCTAGAGAATTGTATATCTCTTCTCTTTCCTTCCCTCTGGGACATCCTAGGAGCCTGCCATGCTATTTCTGGAAACTGACTCCAACAACAATATTGAAGACAGATGTTACCCTCCCATCTGAAGAAGGCTCCCTTCTCATTGCCCGGAGAGACTGGTTTCTCTTTTTTTGAACCAGTGGACCAGCTGCTGAAATGTGACCCCATTCACCCAGTGTGAACGGAGTCTTGTCTTTGGAACGGACAAAACAGTCCTGTTCTCTCTTCAGGCTTCATTATTTTTCCTTCAAAAGGTTGTTTGAGTCTGGTTTCAAAAGAATGGAGATTAGCGCGGTGTCTTTGATCTCATAGTCCCCTTGAGTCTCAGGTAAATTCGACTTTTATATTTACTTAATTGTTCCTGTCAGCGTTGACGGGCGTCAGATTTCCTACACTGTTATTTATAAGGAGGCATTTGGCATCCTGGTTAATTCAAGCAGTTCGTCTGCTCTTTTTATCCCCCTTTACGATTTCAAAATTCTATGCTGTGCTTCGGTTTGCTGAGATCTCCCTGCATGGTGATGACCAGTACAGAAACAACACTCTGGAGCGTGTGCAGACAGACCTCTCCTACCCTTACAAATGTTACTACAAGTGCCAGCGTTATTTCCATCTAACAGATGTGAAAACTGGGTCATTGTGAGGTTGAAAAACTTTCTCTAGTCCCTACCTCTAGTAAGGGGCAGAATCAGAATTTACAGAACTTAGAGTTCAAGTTTTTGAACAGTGCATGAAGCTGCCACTCTGATATATATGTATATATAGATATATATTTTTGTACACTATATATATATACTTATAAATATATGAATATATAATATACACACTATATATGTGTATATATACATATATTTGCTGTATATTATATAAGGAATTTTATATTTATATTATATAAATATAATATAAAAATATATGCATATATATACACACATAGGCATACCTCTCTTTATTGTGCTTTGCAGATATTGCACTTTTTACAAGACCTTCCACCAGCAAAAAGATTATAGCTCACTGAAGGCTCAGATGATGGTTAGCATTTTTTAGGAATAAAGTTTTTTTTTTTCGTGAGGAAGATTGGCCCTTGGCTAACATTTGTTGCCAATCTTCCTCATTTTGCTTGAGGAAGATTGTTGCTGAGCTAACGTCTGTGCCAGTCTTCCTGTATTTTATGTGGGGTGCCACCACAGCATAGCTTGATGAGCAGTGCTAGGTCCATGCCTGGGATCCAAATGTGCAAATCCTGGGCCGCTGAAGTGAGGCACATGAACTTAACCACTACCTCACCAGGCTGGCCCCACAATAAAGTATTTTTTAGTTAAGATATGCGCATTGTTTTTTTAGACATAGTGCTATTGCACACTTAACAGACTATAGTATGGTGTAAACATAACTTTTATATGCACTGAGAAACAAATAAATTTGTGTGACTTGCTTTATTGCGATATTCTCTTTATTGTGGTGGTCAGGAATGGAACCTGTAATATCTCTGAGGTGTGCCCGCATTACCGCTCAGAGATAGATGTGAACTGTATCAAATCATGGTCAGGGTAAAATATACCACTTTAATTCTATTATAGTAATCACAAGTAGCTTAATGATGGGATAATAAGAAAAATAGGCTCTTGTGATTATATATTATGTGAGTAAAATGATTAAAATTTGTTTCCAACATCAATGTTTTTTTGTTTGCCTTCTTAATGTGTGTCAATTATTATAAGAAGATAAAAGGTATGCATAAAACATGGTAGAAAGAACTCTATGTACATGATATATAAAACTATGTTTTACAGGTTGTGAGTAGGAATATATATTAATGCCAGCATGTAAGCCCTTTTTTCAAGAGAAGATAAAACAAACAATCTCAAAATTTTTGTATTTTACTCCCAGATATTTAGGTTCCACATCTGAGATTTGCTCATTTGAAAGAAAAGGGCAATATGTGTGAGAAAAATATTTATGTCAGACAACCACATTTTCCCATGGAGCATTATGGCAGCACATGCTCTAAATTCATAATATAACATAACATACTATAATATAATATCTCTATATAATATATTGTATAATATCTATGTAATATAAAATATATAGCTTATTTTTCTTCTGTCAGAAAGCACATGTTTAAGCTGAAGTCTTGTGAAAGCACATACTCTAAAACCTATATATTATATATAACGTATAACACATAATATATAACATATAACACATAGAATATTTTTATTACTTCATAATCCCATACTTTATCATTCTAAAAACTAAGTAAATGACTGCCACATCACTGACAATTATTATCTACCGATTGTATTATTATTATATTATTTATTATTATTCCTGATTCTAGGGACCCCACAAGCATGTCTTGCTCATCTGCATTAACCTCAGATGAGGCATTCGCTCAGATATCTAAGGTCAATAATCATTGAGCACACCCGGTTTAGAACTAGAGGTAGTGTCTCTGAAAGTGTAGAATCTCGCCATGAGTCATTTATCCCAGAAGGTCAACTAGCTAAGAGACCCCTTAATGGGAGAGTAATTTTTATAAAAATTTATTTAGAGTTTCTTATGCATCCTC